ATTCGAATCATTAATTGTCATATATATATATATATATATATATATATATAAATATTATAACCATATTAGTTAATTTCGTAAATTTTATTTAAGAAAAAAATGAATAGCATTAATAATAGTTTTATGTTTAGTTTAATAAAAATATATTATATGTTTATATAGACCAACATTTTTTTCTAGTAAATTTGAGAAACATTCTCATGATAACACGTGGTTAACAAAATATGTTGTAATGCTTCTCAATTAATATAGAACTAGATTTTGATCCGCGCTTGAAAGCGCATAAATTTTTTATGATTAAAAATTTATATAGTTGGGTTTTATCTTAATTTGAAGAATGTTTTAGTATAAAATCAGCTCACCAAAATTTGTGATGACGATTGTTTTTCATTAGTTTTTAGTTTTAGTTTTTGTTTTTAGATTTTATTTTAGATTTTGGTTTTTAGTTTTTAAGTTTCTATTTTTGATTTTCAGCTTTTTGTTTGGGTTTTTAATTTTTTTACAGCCGCTGAGTTAGTTTGAACTGATATATCAAACAATTCCCAAATAATCGAACATCTAATTTAAAACTGAAAAGATGAATTTTTTTTTAAAAAAAAATTGCAATAGTTTATTTTGTAAAGAAACAAAAGCAAAAAATATAATCTGCGTTTTCAGCTTTTGGTTTTGGATTTTAGTTTATAGATTTGGTTTTTGGTTTTGCTTTACATTTTTTTTTAAATCAGTAAATTATTAAGAAAATAAAACAATAAATTATTTAAAAGATACCATTGAAATTTGTGAAAACAAAGTGATTATTATTTAAAATAAAAAATATATTAACATGTTTTAAAGTACATGATTTAAATAAATGGTTAATAATAGACAATTTTGTTTTGTTAAAAATATTAAATACCTTTTGGGTCTGAAAATAATAATTGATTTTTTGATTCATTAAGGCGGAAAGTTTATTAAATGTTTTTGGAGTTTTTCCTTAATACTAAGCCCAATAACTAACTATATAACTTGTTCTAAAAACAAAAGTAATTAAGCCCAAGATTATGTCCCATAAATAACCACCGGTTTAATTTAAGTAATCTGGTTCAGTTAACTATATGGCTTGTATTATTTGTAACACTCTAGAAATTGTCCAAATTTAAATGACAATTTGTATCAATAGATAAAAAGAATGACTATATTTTAATAGAATGGATGAATTCGTTATGTGTTAGGCATTAGGGCATCTGCATTAGTAAAACCGAGGTAGAGTTCAATAGGTGGATTTTGTATTTTTTTCTACTTTTTCTAAAAAAAAAAAAAAATTGGACCAGTGACGGGCCGCCACGTGTCATGGGGTCCGCGCTACAGTTCGTGAACCGGCTCTTACAGATGACTCGCGACGACCCAGGTTCAGAAAAATATGCTTATTAAATGATTTTTTTTCCTTGGGAAAATGATGAACCCCATACAAAATCCTCCAATGGAGGTGGCCTTAAGTCACCATCCGTTTACCGTTTTCTTTGACACCGCTCTTCAGATTTATATTTGACTTCATATGTTAGGTTCCTTGTAGAAGAACTTGATTATTTCACAGAAGAATTATATCTTATATCATTTGTTGTTAATATAAGCCTCTATATATTAATATAAAATCATTTAAAAGTTATAACATGTAATTTGTACTAATTAAAAAATGCTAAGTTGTTACCTAATTAAAATGCTAATTTTCTTACATGTCGATTTGAGAATCAATTCAAACATTTGTTAGCCAATTGCTAAAAATGTTATATTATATAGTATGTATATTATAGACCATTCATTTATCAAATTAAATTTTTTTATATATTTTTGTAAAATAAAATCTACGGAATTACTTAATATGACTAAAAGTTATATATGGCAATTACTAATTTTAAATAATAAAAATTTGCTAACAATCTATATACTTTCAATTCTTTTATTTAATTATTTATTATTAAAATAAATTACACAATTACATTAATCATATAATAAAAATTTAGATTTTTTTGTATATGTTCTATTTTGAATTTTTCAAAACGAGTATAAATTACTAAACTGTTAAAAGTTTTACATAAATTTTTATAATTAAGATTTATTTTGTTCTATAATAAAATACAGTTACTATAAAGAGTCAATTGGGTGAATAACTATATAAAAAAATTGAATTTAGCCAAATACCTAGACAATAAAAGTATGAACTCTACTACAGAAAAAAAAAACAGATACAAAATTACCTATGAAACCTCACGAACGTTTGTTCAGTGTTAAAATAGCTCAAAGAAACGTAGATGATAGGGGTATTAGAGTCACTAAATTTTAAACACAGTTCCTAATAGTGTCAAATGGTGGATCGCTAATTAGTCAATATTGTTTGTGTATACAATGCAAATACTCTATTATAAAATCATATGAAAAATAATTTTATTTTAATAGATGTTTATTTTAATATATATATATATATATATATATATATATATTGTTTAAATTAAGTTATACATCATATGAAAATATATATTTATATTTTGGTATTTTCATTGAACATATATTAAGAATTTAATATTTTAATTTTGAAATCTTCATTGCCTTTTAAATAATTATAAATTATCTAAACCGCTAAACCTTCCACATTAAAAAAATTCATTAAAATAAAATTTTACATAAATATACATATAATCATAAAATCATATGAGTAGAAACTTCATCTAATAAATATCCATATTAAAGGTATATTATATATCTATGTTAATATCATTAAACTTTAATTTACCATTGACAAGATTGATTATTATTTTTTATTTACTTTAAAATGATTGCGAATAAAAAAGAGCGGTCATTTGATTTATATGTGCACGTTAATTTATTAAAAAATAGTAACTGATTTCTTAGTTATTTAATATATAATTATTATTTTATTATTTCCTATTATGCAAAAGATATAAAATAATAAATATAAAATATTTATTCTGCGCAAGGCGCATATCTTAATCTAAATATATGTCTTTTGATAATTTAAATCTTAAACATTTTCTAAATCTAAGACCAAAATAAAAGAACGAATGAGAATAAACTCAAAAAATCAATATTTATAGTAAACAATAAAAATAAATAAAAATGACACAAAAAGAGAAAAATATAAAAGATAGTTAGAATTTGCACGTGAACATAATTCTCATAATCATAATTAAATTTTAAATTTCTAAATCATAATATAAAATCGAGCTCACATAGTTTCGTTGTAACCAAATAGTAGGTATCAAATTATTCGGCATAAACTTTTGGGTCTTATATGATATGTGATTTTTTACCTAAAATATTTTTAAAAATGAGATTAGCTCATCAATAAACAAATTATGTAATTAACAAAAAAAATTTAAAAAATTATTTAAAGACTAAAATTTTAATTCAATCAAAAATATAAATTTATTTTTTCCTACTATATTCTAAAATAATTTTTATATAAATTCACTATGCGTTTAGGTCTTATCCTAGTTTCAGTATTAAAACAAGCTAAAATGTAGTAAAGTTTAGTTATATATTGAGATTTCTAAACCGGGACCAAAATTCTTTTCAAGTGGATTCATATAGATTTTCCTATTTATCTATGATATACTGATCTCTGCAACCTTATACAGCTATACCTAATATAGTGATACTATTAAAAGAAAGTGAAACCATAAAAAAATATGCCATTTATTTGAGTTTAGCTTTCTATGATTATGAAGAGTAACAAATATTCCAGTTGTGCTGTCAAACAATCACAGAGTAGTAAGAGCTAAACAAAAACAAACATAAAAGAGCTCCAATTCATTATACAATGAATGATTAAGGTATCAAACAACTGGAAATTAAGTTGTTAATGTGACAGATAATTAAGATCAAAGGATTATAGTTCGAATCTGATCAAAGGCAAAGCGAATTCGGAACATGCCGCGTAGTCATCATGCAGCTATGTGGGCTCCAACAAAGCATGTACCACAAATATTGTTTAAAAATACAAAAATTAATGAGAGAAATCTACGCATAACGAATATAATTATTGATTGAAAGTAAACAATCAGTAGACGAGATTGATGGATGAAATTTAGAATCTATTTGATGATATGTATTCCCCCAATCTCGATAGTATTAAGTATTTGCCGGTAGTAACTATATAAAGAAATGATAATAAATCAAATGCAGATGAATACGAATATAATTTAAGAACAATGCATATCATCATTATCTCATTAAAAATTCCCGTTGTTTATATGATTATAAATTAGTCTTACGTATCATCTTAAACGTTAAAAATAACTTTTAAATATTTCTCACTATAAACAAAAATTAAAGTATTGTATTTGTAGTGGTAACTGAAAACGAAAAATGAGTGAAGAACTATATATTCGAAGTAGCAGTGTAAAACATCAAACACAAAAAAACGTAATTAAAATTGTTCTTTATTGAGATTAAAGTAGATGGATTAACCAACCCAATAATTCTATAATTCACCTACCTTCAATTTTAACAACGGCATCACATTGCATCTCCGAAGATGTGTTACGGTATAGGTCCTCTTACTTTATCTGGTACTGCGAGAGTACCACTTATACTTACAATAGTGATCACAAATCACAATTTAGTATTTTTGTGGATTTAATCGAAAATCACTAATTCATATCATTAAAATAATTTAAGAACATAATTTTATTAAAAGCATTGTAGTAATTGTAGAAGGTAAGAAAAAACAAAAACAATTTAACTTCACATCTAAAGGATTTTACTCTAATTCACATCAAAATAATTCATCCTCCTCACCCAATTACACGATAGGGCAACATAAAAAGATCTTAAAAAATATTTACAATAAATGTCAAAAACATGCTCCCAAAAAGAACATGCTCGTGTGGGTTAATAGATTTAATTACCGAATAATTAAGAAAATAATTACAATAAAGACAGAGAGGTTAAATAAGGCAAAGCAAACGGTCAGAGAAAAGGATCGTGTGCTTCTCTTTCGAAAACTCTAGTGCTCTTCTTCGGACAATCCATCTTCTTTTTTCTTATTGTCTCTTTCTCCACAGCTTTCAATCAAACAAAAAAAAAGACCATTGATCCTTGTCCTTTTAAAAAAAATTAAAATACAAACTCATCTCTTGTACTATTTTTTGTTCTTTTTAATTCTCTCTGGTTTGGTAGTAAAGAGAGACTCCACATCACATGGTATTCTGAATGGGTCTGTGTGTGTGGACTTGTTCTTCTTCTTAGGGATGTGTTTGTTCCAGTTTCAAAGAAACCAAACCAAGTGAAAAAGAACAAACCCACGTAAGCAATTTCAGTGATGCTTGTGCTGACGCAATCTTTTTGGTTTCCTTAGGATCTAAAAATGAGATCTTTCACTTTTGTACTTGCTAATTCAGCTTCTCTGTGTGCTCTTTTATTTTATTTTTTGGTGGTTTTGTTGCTTTACACATTGATCAGACCACATAAGATGTTTGTGGAAATGCCTAAGAGAGAGAGACTAGGTTCAATGGGTTTTGGATTGAGATTGATGTTTTATTTTAACTTATTTTTGTAACTCATTTTTCTCGAACTCTGTGATTGCTTATTTTGTAAACTTCTTTTATTTATTTATTTATTTCTAATTTTTCTTAATATATATAAAAGCCATTGTAGGTTGCTTGGTTGGAAGCAAAACTGGCAGTTGGGGGAATTCCTCTTTTGAGAGAAAAAAAAAAGCATTGTTCTTTGAGATGGGTTTCATGAATTGAAGAAATCTCTGGAGAGAGGAAGAATAATGGATTACTTGTCTCAAGAGGAAGATTTGCATTTCTTTGATGCCAACGAGGAAGAGATGATGAGTCCAACTGCTTTTGATTTCGACGTTTGGAATGATTCACCTGGAAGTGTTGTGGAACGGAGAAGGAGGTTCTTGGAGTGGATGGGAGTCGAAGGAGATCTCAAGAGTTTGGATGGAGGTCGAGAGATTTGTGTTGAAGGTGAGCAAGTATCTGGAGAATTCAGTAGTTTCTCTAGCCAGGTATCTTCAACTGATTCTGGTTCAAGCGTGGTTGAAGTTTCAGAGGAGTTGTCTCTGAGAGTTGATAAAAATGTGGGTGGGTGTGATGTTACCAGAAGGGAAAGCTCTTCAATGGCAGCAACTTCTCAGGTGAAGAAGGAAACAGAAAAGCAGAGCAATATCACCTGCCGGAAGAAAGGATGGTTAACAAGGCTGCTATCTATGGGATGCTCCGCGGATACAAAGGTGGAATCTGGTGGTGGAATCAGAGCTTCTTCTGGCTATGGCGATGTGCTCACAAGAGTTAAGGTGAAGCACTGTAAGAAACAAGCGAAGGAGCTTTCAGGTCTTTACCAGAGTCAAGACATTAAAGCACACAGTGGTTCCATCTTGGCTATGAAATTCAGCTGCGACGGAAAGTATCTCGCAAGCGCTGGTGAAGATGGGGTTGTGCGTGTGTGGAAAGTCGTTGAGGATAAGAGATCTAGACTACGAAGGGATTGCCTTGATGAGATAAACCCTTCTTGTATGTACTTTGAGGTAAACGATCTTTCCCAGCTGAAACCGGTTTTGTTGGATGAGGAGAAACCAAACAAGACGACAGAAAGTTTCAGGAAGACATCTGATTCAGCCTGCCTTGTCTTTCCTCCTAAAGTTTTCCGGATAGTGGAGAAACCTTTACATGAGTTCCGTGGCCACACTGGTGAAGTCTTGGACATCTCATGGTCAAAGGATAATGTAAGCTTTCAAAATCTTGTTCATTTCTTTATATAACTTGCAACCATTGCTTATGTAACTTCATGGTGCAGTGTCTTCTCTCAGCGTCAATGGATAAAACTGTTCGGTTATGGAAAGTCGGTAGCAATGCTTGCCTTGGAGTTTTCCCTCACAATGGTTATGGTATGCTTCTGCATTTTGGTTGTCTAGTTATCTCAGTTGCTCTACATTGATCTGACATTATCTTTTCTTTCTTGCAGTAACATCTGTGCAGTTCAACCCTGTAAATGAGAACTACTTCATGAGTGGTTCAATTGATGGGAAAGTTCGGATTTGGAACATTTCTAGTTGCAACGTTGTTGACTGGGCTGATCTAAAAGACATTATATCCGCAGTGTGTTACCGTCCGGATGGACAGGGAGGAATCATTGGTTCTCTTACCGGAAGTTGTAGGTTCTTTAACATGTCTGGAGACTACTTAGAGCTGGATTCTCAGATACATTTGCATCACAAAAAGAAGTCTTCCAATAAACGGATTACTGGTTTTCAGGTGATAATCTCTCCTTTTGTTTCCCTCTGGTCTTGGTGTTTTGTATACTTCTCTTGACATTGATCTTTTCTACAGTTCTTACCTCAAGACCCTAGTAAAGTCCTGGTTGTTTCTGCGGATTCCAAAGTTAGAATTCTCCAAGGGAATGATGTTGTCAGAAAATACAAAGGTATGTTGCTACTTATGTTGTGTACCTTCAACTTTCTATGGTTGATTCTAAACTAAGCTCATGTATGTATGTTCTTTTTATATGCAGGTGTTTGTAAGACGAGAAGCCTCACATCAGCATCTCTAACGTCTGATGGAAAGCACATTGTTTCAGCTTGTGAGGACTCCAATGTATATATATGGAGCAATGGGGAGGAACCAGATTCATCATCCCAAACCAAGAAGATTAAATCCTTTGAACGTTTCTCCACCAATGCGTCCGTTGCAGCAACCTGGTGTGGATTCTCAGATCACAACACATCTCTCCCGTTTGCATCACCTCCTTGCTTGTCCCTCAACGAAGGATACGTCCCTGGATCATTTCCCAAAGGGAGTGCGACATGGCCAGAGGAAAACCTACCTGCAAATCCTCTTTCTTCAATGACTGCATCTCACTACAAGTTTCTCAAGTCATCATACCAGAGATCAACTAGCTCTCTGGCTTGGGGTATGGTCATTGTAACAGGTGGTTGGGACGGGAGGATCAGAACATTTCAAAACTACGGCTTGCCTGTGACTGTAACTTGAAAGAATACTGGTTTGTTTTTTTCCCAACTTTGGAAAAACAAAAATCAGATGCCATTGTTCCTTTCTTGCTAGGCACAAGCACATGGTTGATGGTTCTGGCAGGTCATGAGAAAAGGCTACGGTGGGTCCAAACACACAAAACCAGATCTATCCTGAGATTTTTGCTATTGTTCAATAGTCAAAGGGAGACTCAGAAATGCTATTTTTCACTACTCAAAAGGAGATGATGTAGAGAAATCTATCACAAGAAGGGTCAGTGAGAGATTGATGGAGACGCAGGGGATGATAAGGAACAGATGTTTCTTTCTTTGGCAGTAAGTGGCGGTTGGGAATGGGTCTTAAAAAGAGTACGGATTTTTCTGACAAAATATTGACAGGCGAGTGTGGGGTCCAAAGGAAGCGGCAAGAGATCATGGAAAGGAGTGGTTGCAGGGGAAAGACGTTGATGTTACTTCCACAGAAAAGATCCTCCATGGAAGATCTTTGATATGGAAAAAAAAAAAGAAAAAGAATAGGTTTTAACGGTAGTGAAAGGTTTTGTTTGTGTAGTTTGTTTCTAACCTGTAGGTGAGTTTTATGCTTAATTAGTAGATTTGAATATTTGGATTTATGTCTGATTAGAGAAAAAATCAATTGATTATTAGCTCCCTCTACCTCAGAGAGAGGCTCCGAGAATTTGTTTTTGTAATTTTTTTTTTTTTGTCATCATTTGTTTTTGTAATTTTGTGTAAATATATGATCTATTAGTACAAATACAACCCTTTTTTTTTATTGATCTCAACTTTTTGTAGAGTATGTTCTAAATCAAGAATTTAATGATTGTATGAATACAGAAACATGACTAAATTAATTATACGTCTAGTGCTTTCGTTCAATGGTTACAGATCCAGCTAGTTGGATATTTACAAATTGTCTTAAGTATTGTATCATGGTGGGGTTTGACTATATAACTTTTTATGTCAACAAAATTTAAAATTTGAGCTAATATAAGCATACAATACAATTATTTTTTTGCTGTCACTTAATCAATTTTATTCTTATATAACTTAGAAGCTATAAGAACATTTTCAATGGAGATTTAAAAACATAATATATATATATATAAGTATCTCGAAATTACGAATTTTTTTTATCAAAAATATCTCTCTTGAAATATTTTAGATAGGTTTTCCATAATTTGAAATATTTTCAATTGATATTAATATTCATATATATAGTACATAAGTATACGGTATGTATATTTAGAAGAGAAATTTGGCCAGATACATATAATAAGCAAAAAAAACAAATATAACCATAGTATTCATTAAGCTATGATATTCGTGTATTATTTTTTATATATTGTCCTTTCTCACTTTGACCTCTTGTTTTAAATTAACTTTATAGGTTTAAAAAATATTTATTTGAATTTTTTTGATATCTATAAAAAACATATATATATTTTGTATATAAAGTTTTTTGAAATTTTGTAAAATTAACATGTAATGATAAATTGAATATGTACAGTTATATAAGATTGTGTTCTATTCTATTTACGAAACATAATAGAATTGTTATTATATAATCTTTCTATCTTTCATTTTTTTATCTATCTCTCTTATCAATCTTTATATTTATCTCCCTTCATCATTTTATCTCTATTAGTATATCTTTTTTTTCTCTCTTTTTCTTTTTTTTTTATTTTTCTTTCTCTTTCACTCTCTAATATGTAATGTTCAAATAACATAATGTTATATTCTATTCTATTTACAACCGTAGAATAGAATTGTAATTATACATTCACTGGTTATCTCCTCTTTTCCCTCCCTCTCTCCCTCCCTCATGTTCTCTCTCTTTCATATATACTTCCACATATTATATTATATGACCATCAAATATAGAATAATATTGTTTTTTTATTTGTACTATTTTAGTCAAATATGCTTTTAAATATGTTATACTATAAATTTAAACATATATTCAACGAATAAATATACAATTTATTTGAGATATTGTTTGAATTGCATTGAATGTCCATTTATATGCTTAATTGACACAGTTCTCAAGTCATAACTATATTCTTCAATTTTTTTCTCTTATGAATATACAGTAAACTCTCCCTTTTTAGAAATGCATGCAGAGAACTTCCTCTTAAGAATAAGGGAAATATGCAACTTTACCACTTCAGTCATATCAATCAATATAGAAACAATAACAAAATATAAGAAAACGAGTCTATTTTAAAGACTGGTGGGTGGTTAAAATGTAGTTGAAAAAGAATTAAAAATGTTTGATTGGGCTATTATTGATATTAAATTGGATCATATTGTTATCGGCCCAACAAAAAAGGCTCGACGCTTTAAAACGTTAATAAGTGTAACTGTCGTGACACGTCATAGAAATGATCCAAAACGAATTTGAGATAGATAGATAACTCAACAACGGTTGTCCGTTGTCGGATGGCAGAGAGAAAGCAGAAGAAAATCAATCTCAAAACATGGCTTCGCTTCCTGTTCAGTTCTCCAGGAATCATCTCTCTACGCCCACTTTCTCCAGTAGAAACCGCCGCTCCACGGAGCCGAGATCTTTTGTATCTCTAGTACATTGCTCCGGTAAATTCCCAAATACAGTTTTTATTTATTCTTCTTCAGAATGTTAGCTGAGACTTATATAAACATTTGGATACTCATAGTCTTCCACAGAGTAATGATGTTTTGTTTGTGTTATGCTCTGCAGCTAGAGAAAACGGAGACGATGTTCAAGGAATCAAGAAGAGTTTGTTTCCTGTTAAGGAGCTTGGATGTCTCGCTTGCGCTGCGCTTTCTGCTTTCTCGCTTACATTGGCTTCTCCTGTCATTGCTGCTAACCAGGTCTTTCACACTATGTTTTCTCTCTTCTTAATTGTGTAATGCATATTAAGAACTTGGATTATCGATTATGTTAATAATAATGTCTCAATTTATCTGCAACCTTAATTTTTCTACATAATAATTAGGCTGGAACCAGACGGTTAATAATTTTAAATGTTTCATGAACTGAATTATGTTTTTTTTCTCCTTTTTACAGAGACTTCCTCCGCTTTCAACAGATCCGACCCGATGTGAACAAGCTTTTGTTGGTAACACGATAGGTCAAGCAAACGGAGTCTATGACAAGCCACTCGATCTCAGGTTCTGCGATTACACAAACGATCAGTCTAATCTCAAAGGCAAGACTCTCTCTGCAGCCCTGATGTCAGGTGCCAAGTTTGATGGTGCAGACATGACTGAAGTCGTTATGTCAAAAGCCTACGCCGTTGGAGCAAGCTTCAAGGGTAAGTAACCAACAACCGTCTTACATTATTATATATATATAGCATTAGCATTTCAAATCTTGATGTGTGTATAATGTTTTGATGTTTGCAGGGGTGAATTTCTCTAATGCTGTCATCGACCGGGTGAACTTCGGGAAGTCAGATCTAAAAGGAGCTGTGTTCAAGAACACGGTGTTATCAGGTTCCACATTCGAGGAGGCAAACCTGGAGGATGTGGTCTTTGAGGACACGATCATTGGTTACATTGATCTTCAGAAGATATGTAGGAACGAGACAATAAACGAAGAAGGAAGACTTGTGTTGGGTTGCAGATAAGATAGATGGGAGAAAAGGGTTTTGGATTTGGTGTATGTAAGAGTTGAAATTTGACACAAAAGTACTTTTAAGTGTTGAAGGATATAGAACTCGGAAGAGAGTTTATGAGATTTCTATAATCAATTCCTGTAAAGTTTGTAACCACACAAAGTACTTTTCTCTGTTGTTCGTTCATTTACAATTTAGTATGCAAACGAACAACATTTGATCGCCCAGGTCAGGATATCCTACATTGCTATGTTTAACTTTATACGTATGTGTGCTTCATTTATGATATGGAGATATAAATGAACAATAGTAGAGTTTCAACAAAAGCGCATCTGGTGTAGTGGTATCATAGTACCCTCCCACGGTACTGACCAGGGTTCGATTCCCTGGATGCGCATTTCATTTTGCGTTTTGAAATTTTCTGTATTTTAGTGTTTGTGTTATTTTTTTGCGACATGGACTTACCATATTCTTCTTTTTAGTGTGTATACATATAGATTTTAGTTATAATTAACTAAGCTATCAAAAGTTTTTATTTGAGGTGTAACTATGTAAATTAGTATAAATTTTAGGAGTGTTTCAAAAAAAAAAGTATAAATTTTAGATTTCGGAGTTTATATCTTATCGCTTTTATTAACTACAATAACAGTACAAATAAGTATTTCTAATGTTGATTACTTAAGTTAGGTTCAATAAGCCCTTTGTGAAAAAAAAAAGAAGTTAGGTTCAATAGTCTCTATAAATTGGCAAAACGTTCAATTAATTATTTTATTGGTAAGAAATCTTACTAATTAATCAACTCATCCGAATGGAGTAATACATTAGATAATTTGTTAATTGATCTAGGCCCTAAAAAGTTTACCGGACACTCATCGACGAATTTTGTAAAACACTAAAATTCAGTGATTTTTTTGGTTCTATTGGTCTTATCATGGAACTAAATGTTCAACTTTAATCTTCTTAAAAACAGATAATCGGGGAGTTATTTATAAAAAATAAAAATAGCTATAACGCTCTTTATTTAATATCCGATATAACGAAGTACACAGAGAATTAAGGGATACTACATACATATATGTCAATAAAACAAGGTGATTATAATTTAGTATACTAATCTCCTTTCACGAACGCGTTTCTGAAGGGTATTGTACACTGATCTCATCCTCAAACAAAATCTCAGAATAGGAGGATTACACACATTCATTTATAAAGATACCCGTGCATGCATGTGCTTATATATATATATGCTACTATATATATATATAGAGAGAGAATCGTGTGCCGAGTGATTCAAGGCTTGCCTCCGGCCCTCCTTCTTGGATCGTGTTTAGGGTTGGGTCCTGCGTCGTCGTAGTCCGCAGTCGAGTGGAACATCAACTTCCTGTGGCTCATGATCTTGTTCACTTCCCTCTCCTCGCTCTTCATAATTACAAAACCATGTTATTATCTATGTTTAATTTGGATACAAAGCAATGTTCCTAATAAATATTTCCGTATTTAAACATAAAATACACTACCTTGTAACGCATGAAACTCTCATGCATCTTTAGGCCTCCCAGTTGGATAGAGCCTTCCACTATAGTTAAAAGCAAACATTATATCAGCGGTTTCTAAATTCTTTAAAGTGATCTATATAATTAGAAAGAAATTGATTTATTGCAACTTACGCAAAGTTAGAGATACATTTTAATTTTGGAGAAATAGTGGAAATAGTTACTATAGCGTGGTTACACCAATACAATAGTAATGAATGGTATCAAGGTAAAATTTAGTTAGCGTTAGAAGAGAGGGATGTACGAAAATAAGATATCAAAAGCTAATCTTGGACTTAGATGGATTGGGTGAGAGGTCGATTAGTATATATATCCATTTATAGTTTTATACAAAGTAAAAAATAACGCGTAAATACTGAAAAAGATGTAATATAGGAGTATATTTAGTTATTTACCTAGTGAGGAAGAGCAAACAATGAGGAGTACGAGGAAGATGAGAGGTAGAGGATTGATCCTGAAAGGCATATTCTATGGTTTTGATGAGTATTCTATACAATAAGATGGTTTTTTCTTCTATATATGATAGTTAATGTTTCTCTCTGTTCGTTTAGGGGAGAAGGAAAATATTTAGAGGAGAAATGGGTTTTGATATGAGAAGATGGGAGAAGGCTGGCTTCCAATTTATAAACGGTACCAAAATTATGTAGTGGAAACTGTTTTGGTCCATATAGAATTTGGTCGCGAGGGTGATGATGATAACCATGACTATCCTAGTTATGATAATGAAAATACATGAACAGCCCCTATCAACATAACTTTTCAAAGAATAAGAATATCACGTAAGTATCGACATTGTTTATTACAAAACAATAAAGAAGGTTGTGAAAACTGTGGCGAGACTATTTTACCAAAAAAAAAAAAAAACTGTGGCGAGACTATCATCAAAATGGTGATGATAGTAGCAAGAAAAAGAAAAGAGTGATGAGATCAAAATCAGATGATATTGGGATAATGCAATGAACCCACAAACCCTAGAACAAAAAATCTAGAGAAAGTCAACTCAGCTGTTGATTGTGTCACGTCTCCCAAAAGGACACTTAAGCTTACCTCTGTTTATGCTTGTGGACAAAAAAGTATATTTAACCAGTAACCAGACTTGTGTTCCAGAAAAAAAAAACAGTAACCACACTTTCTTTTACAAGACATTGCTCAAAATTATAGATTTTATTTTTAATTATATCCTATGATTATGTGAACTAGGAAGTCTCATATAAAACACCTAAGGTATTATTAAAACCAGCATGGATGTTTTTATTTAACATGTGTAAGATTTTTTTTATGTCTACAACATCATCATGTTTATTAGAATTTCTAAATATTCTAAAACTTATTGTATAAAAAAAAAGAACATTTTAAAACTTACGATATACGTATCATCTATACCCGGACGAGCTAGCTCAACTGGTAACACCTCAAGTAATTGCTTGAGAGGTCACAAGTTCGAGTCTCGGGCGGGGAGGAGTGTTTAGGGCCGTAAAAGGTACAGACGCAGGTTGGTTCCGGGCCTGAGGAGGGATTAAAACCGAAGGCCTGAACTCATCCCAATTAAAAAATATATATACGTATCATCTAAAACAAATGAAGCTACCCACTCGAAATCAAATCTATTTCTCGTGGAAATTTGATAAATGGCGGATGACTTAAACACATTAAAACTTCAAGAAAATATCCAGATTAATCTGAAAAACATTATAGTTACGGTTCTTAAGGATGTTATAAGGTTTATTTGTTAAAAAAAAAAAAGGATATAAGGTTTATAGTTTTAAACCTGTCGTAGAAACATTAATAATTTGACCAACTACTAGATCAATGACTGTTGAAATTATGCATATGATCTTGCAACCACGATTATTTTAGTCAGCAAAAAGTTAATATTTGTAAATTGTAAATGTAAATGTTCATGAAACTAAGTGAAGTGAGCCATCGAATATTTGTATGTAATTTGTAATTGTGTGTATGTATTTTGTAATTGTGCCTAAGCCATCAAATTAGATTTTTTAAGTGGTTCGAATTCATAATGAAAAATGGTTATTGATTGATGCAAGAAAGGTGACCTAACTCATGAAACTTTTTTTTGCCTAAACTTTGATGTTAACTCATAATTTTTTTTTTCTTGTAACTGATCATTAACTCATAAACTTGAAGGGGAAGTTCCTTTTGACTATTTATATATTGTATACGATATACTAGGACCAGCTTTTTTTTAGTTAAGCATAGGCTGGGTATAACTTTCACGTGTAGTACTACTTTGTTTCACTATAAATGTTATTCTTATTTTTTTTTCACTATAGATATTCACTATAAAAGTTATTTAATTTATCTTCTAATGTTGAAAGCTAATTCTTTTTTTGAGAAAATCCAAAGCAAAATATTCAAATATAGTTCTCTTTAATGTAGTTTTGTTTTATATAATAGCACGTTATGAGTCGGAAATCATAAATGTTAGCAAACACTAATCTTTATATAAAAATCAAGCTCTCAAATAAGAATTCGAACTATAAAGCTATGAAATCAACCAGAAAGATAAAAGCTTAAAAACTTCTATTGATAAAAAAAAATAAGATTGTGTCCAAAATATAGAGAGAGCTTAAAACATAAAAATGAAAACTAGATAAAAAAAGAAAACTTCTAGAAAAAAATAAAAAGGAAAACTTCTAGAAAACAATAGATTAGGTTCCTACACCAGTCTCCTCCACCTCCAAAGAACTCGACCCCGAGTTCTCTTCTTGATAAAGAACACCATCAGCATGGTACTCATAGATGTCAGACACATTGAACGTAATAGAAATGTTCATGTCTTCTGGAAGTGCCACCACATAAGCATTATCATTTAACTTCCGCAAAATCTTGAATGGACCATATTTGCTAGGCTGTAGCTTGCGATATGTACCAACTGGGAATCTTTCTTTTCGTAGAAACACAATCACTTCATCTCCTTCTTTGAAAATCTTGAGTCTTCTACGCTTATATGCCGCTTCTTTATTCTTTTGTCAAGTTGCTTCTAACTTCGCTCGGACAGCTTCTTTAGTTGCTAAAATATCCTCAGCCATAGCCTCAGCTGAGATACTAACTCCAAGAGCTTTAGGAAACTTAACCAAATTGACCACATGCTTCGGAATAGAAGTATAGACCAAATAAAAGGCGATTCCTTGTAGCTGAATGCACGGCACTGTTGTAAGCAAATTCCACTTGAGGTAAAGCTAGATCCCATTTTTTCGGTTTATCTCCACAAACACTTCGAATCATATTCCCCAAAGTTTTGTTCATTACCTCGGTTTGTCCGTCAGTCTGTGGGTGAGCTGTAGAACTTTGTTTCAAGCTGGTTCCAAACATCCTCCAAAGTGTAATCCAGAAATGACTGAGAAACTTGGTATCCTTGTCTGAATCTATTGTTTTAGGAACTCCAAGAAGACGTACTACTTCTCGGAAAAAACAGCTTAGCAATGTTAGAGGCATCTGCAGTCTTCTTGCAGGCGATGAAATGTGACATCTTGGAGAATCTGTCAACCACCACAAACACAGAATCGATGCCTCGCTGTATACAAGGCAAACCTAGCATAAAATCCATGGACAAGTCTTGCCAGATATCCTCGGGGACCGGTAATGGCATATAAATACCAGTGTTCTGAGATTTTTCCTTTAGAAACCTGACAAATATAACACCTTTTAACTATAGCACCCGCATCTCTCCTTAAATGTGGCCAATAAAACCTTGCCTCCAAGCTAGCAATGGTCTTGTCTCTTCCCAAATGACCACTGAGACCACCACCATGCAAATCTCGAATCAACTTTTCTCGTAATGACGAGCAAGGAATGCACAGCCTGTCTCCTTTAAAAACATAACCCTCTCGTATGTGAAAATCTGCCGAAGGATGTTTCCCTATACATTTTCCCCACAATTCTTCGAATTCAGCATCACATTCATATAACTCAATCAAAAACTCGAAACCCACAACCTCTCGCGCTAAGATAGTGAGTAAGGAAGCTCTTCTACTCAAGGCGTCTGCCACCTTGTTAAGTGTTCCCGACTTATGCTGAATAATGAAAGGAAACTTCTACAGAAAACTTACCCAACGAGCATGCATCTTATTTATCACTTTCTGGCTGTGAAGATACTTTAGAGCTTGGTGGTCCGTAAATAGAACAAACTCTCTCTGAATCAAGTAATGTTCCCATTTCCGTAGAGCTCGAAAGACAACATAGAACTCCCGATCATACGTGCTCCACTTTTGGCGAGCTTCACTTAACTTTTCACTAAAGAAAGCTATCGGTATTTTCTCTTGCGACAAGACTGCACCTATTCCCACACCACTAGCGTCACATTCCACTTGAAACACTTTGTCAAAATTGGGTAAGGCTAATACTGGTGCAGTACAAAGCTTCTCTTTGATAAAAGAAAAACTCTCTTCTTGGTTGGATCCCCAATGAAACTTCCCTTTCTTCAAACACTCAGTGATAGGCGTAGTAATGCTACTAAAATCTCTAACAAATCTCATGTAGAAAGTAGCTAAACCATGAAAGCTGCGTACCTCAGTGACTGACTTAGGTGCGGGCCAATCCCTTATGGCACTCATTTTTTCTTGTCAACCTGAATCCCTTTTTCACCAACAATGAATCCGAGAAATAACAGCTTGTTGGTGCTGAACGTACATTTTTTGAGATTGATGTACAATTGATTTTCTTGTAAAACCTGCTGCAGATGCTCCATATGCTCATCTTTGGTTTTACTGTATATCAAGATATAATCGAAGTAAACCACCAAAAAAGAACCAATAAATGGGCGAATAATCTGGTTCATTAATCTCATGAAAGTGCTAGGAGTATTTGACAACCCAAAAGGCATCACCATCCATTCGAATAATCCATCTTTACTCTTAAAAGCAGTCTTCCACTCATCTCCAGGCCTGATTCGAATTTGATGATAACCACTCCAAAGATATATCTTTGAAAACACCATGGAACCTGATAACTCATCAAGCATATCTTCCAACCGAGGAATAGGAAATCAATACTTAATGGTTATCTTGTTAATGGCTCTACTATCAACACACATCCGCCACTGCTTACCTTTTTTAGGAACTAGAAGAACCGGTACGGCACATGGACTCATTCTCTAACGAAGAAATCCTTTTCTCAGCAAATCTTCAATTTGTTCCCTTAAAATCTCATTCTCCTTGGGGCTCATACGGTTGTGGAGAAGATTCGGTAGACTAGATCCTGGAATCAAGTCAATATGGTGCTGAATATCTCTCATGGCAGGTAGATCATTAAGAAGTTCTTCCGCAATCAGCTCTTTGAAACCGTCCAGAATTTCTAACACTTCACATGGGGTTGATGTCTATTCCGTTACGGCACTGAACAATCCTTTAACCACCAAGGGATAAAAACACTTTGATTTTTAATCATCCCCATCAAGTTATTTATCGTCATGTGTCATAACCAAGAAGCTTGGCTTCTTGCTTCTTTTCCTTCACACTGTTACAAAAATCCTTAATAGGTGCCATGACAATTTTATGATTGCCCCATGTAAACAATATCACATTGTCTCGACCTCGATAAGTGATATCATTATCATACTGCCAA